TGAAGTGAGTTCTTGGAGATATTTGTGTCTATTTGACCAAGTTAACAATTTCTTCTTTCTGTAATAAAATTCTATCATGTTGCACAATGAAAGGAAGACATATAGAAATCGAAGTATGACATCCTGGGCTTTTAAAAGAGTAAATTCAACCATGAAAAATACCTGCAAGCAACTGCAATACTTAAATAAACAATAGGGGCATCCTAAGATTCATATCTTAAAACTAGGAGGTTGCACTAAAGTTCAGTCTCATTTTAAAGACACTGAGGTAAGGCTTCAATGAAAAAAGGTTAGGAAATCAGAATCAGAGAATATGCTGAGTTGGAAGACCACAAAGATCATCAGGTCGAATTCCTGTGCCCTGCACAGAACCATCCCCCAGAGTCACACAGTGTGCCTGAAAGTATCATCCAAACACCTCTTGAACTCTGTCAGCCTTGGGGCTGTGACCACTTCCCTGGGGAGCCTGTTCAGTGCCCAACCACCCTCTGGGGCAAGAACCTTTTTCTAATATCCAACCTAACCCTCCTCTGACAAAACTTCAGGCCATTCCCTCAGGTCCTGTCACTGATTACCACAGAGAAGAGATCAGTGCCTGTCCCTGCTCTTCCCCTCACAAGGAAGTTGTAGACTGCATATAATAGTACGTATCTATAAGATAATTAATGTTTAATTTTTTTTAGTTCAGCTATAGTTTTTTAGGTCAGGAACTCATATGCTGAATTTTGTATTTTCTCAAATCATGAGTTCAGCTATGCACCTGTATTCTAAAATAAATTAGACTGCATATCATACTTTCTTGTGCATTACATCTAGATAGCTCTTACGTCAGCTGATATGACAGTACCTATATGAAGGAATGTATCTGTAAAATTTAAAAATATTCAGATAATAATTTACAGAAGAAATGCTTTTTAAGATTGAAAGCTACTTACAGTTTCAAGTCTATTGAATTCTGACATTCTTCTTCTTCAGCCTTCACTTGCCATGACCACGGTGCCACAGTACTTCAGTATGCACCCAAGCATCAACTGCTAATTTCTGGAGGTAGGAAGGGATATATCTGCATCTTTGACATCAGACAGAGGCAAATCCTGTTTACCTTCCAAGCCCACGAGTCAGCTGTTAAGGCCCTTGCACTGGATCCTTCTGAGGACTATTTTGTCACAGGCTCAGCAGAAGGCAACATGAAGGTAAGGGATTGGAGGAGCTGCATTCTATAGGAGAGGTGTATTGTCATATGTTGATCAGCATGTTGCAAATAGCCAGATAAATGCAGTAACAAAACAAAAAACAAACCCAAAAACCCCAAACCTACACTTGATATACAGGATGCTTGCCTTACATTTATAATATAAACTTAAATATACTAGTAGCCTTCTAAAGCAAGTAGGTTTTCTCCTCCTCTAAATATTTATCTTTTTAAAGCTGTGAGACTGAATTTTAAGTGGATAAAGCAAAGTGCATGGTTCTGAAATCTTAGCTTTGTTTTTCCCTCTCTCTTAAAAGTGTTGTGGTTTTGCCTTTGAACATTTCTTTGCAACACAGGGGGCGCTCAGCAACTTCAGCGTTGTGTAAAGTTTCTGAACACCAAGTTGTACTTTTTCTCTTGATGCCCCAGACAGCTATTAAGATGTCAGAGTAGTAAAAAACGAACATCAACATCAAAACAAATAAACAAAAAACCAAACCAGAAACCCAGTCCCTGTTTAAAGGGCTCTTTTCATGAATACTAAAGGAAGGAAATACAAGAACATGGTAAAGAGAAGGAGAGTAAGATTTCTTTCCTTTTAGCTGGGCTGCAAACTGTTTAATAGGTGCTTTCTGTACCTCTGCACAGATCGTGGCTTGGCCTTGCTGAGGGCTCCTGCTGCTTAGGACACAACAGACAGCCATACTTCCTATGACTCTGCATGTTTAATAATTGTGCAGCTTACTCCCTGCAGCATTCCTTAGCAGGAAAGCAACTCCAGCAGCTGGAAAGCTGGCCATAGTCATCTCGGATGAAAATGCAACCTGTCCTTTCTGCAGCTTTCATGGGAGGGAAGCTGGGAGGAGGACTCTGACTAGGTACCACAGGGCCACCTCATCCTGCCCAGTGAGAGCTGGTCCACCCTAAGGTAGCCTTACACTGCATCAAGAACCTCCCAGGAGTCTTGGACTTGTAGTAATTGTTGCTACTAGGCAACAAAAAATATCCTTTATCTTTGCTGAATAGCATTTAGAACAACCAGGAATCTGAAACATTAGGGGGAAAAATACAAATCCTTGAATTTTCATCTCCTTTTGTCATTTGTCGTTTTTTTGATACAGGTGTGGAGACTGACTGGCTACAACTTAATTCACTCATTTAAAAATGAACACGCAAAGCAGTCCCTTTTCAGAAACATTGGTGCTGGTGTCACCCAGATTGAAACTGTGCAAGGCAACCGAATCTTCTCCTGTGGAGCAGATGGCACTCTGAAAATGAGGGTTCTTCCCAATGCTTTCAATGTACCTTCAGGCATTTTTGACATTCTGTAGCGTTATGTGAGCTAATCCTGGTTTTATATAATGTCCCTTTAAGTAGCTAAAAACACAGTGATATGCACTGTGGAAAGAAAATGTGTTTCCTTTCAAAGCAGTGACTGCAGCATTAAATATTGTGGGTTAAAAGATAATTAAACAAACAAACAAACAAGAAAAGCAACACTTTTACAACAGGTATATTTTGAATATGCCCATAAGGATCCGTGGGGTGGAAATGCATGTACTGTATTGTGCAAGCAAACAATTCAAGTCGGTACAGTTGGACAGAGGGGGGTTATGGTTCAGTAACCCACAAGCTGCATTTAGTGTCTTGCAAAGATTCTGACAGTTGTCAGTCACTTAACAAGCACTGTGGCTCTATAAGTCAGTCAGCATTTCTGACATGATTCTGATTACTTTTATTCCAGTTTTTCCCACTAATTGAAGCATGTGTACAACTTCTCATTGTAAAATAGTTTAGTTTTAATTAAGGGTACTCGGTGTATTTGATTTTCGCCAGAAAGTGTAATGGATGCAAATGCCGTGGCACATGTGCAATCAAGGATGTACTGTGAGAGATGTATCATTTTATGCTGAGATTTTTTTCCAGTTAGTATTATTGCACAGTTGATACTGTAACTTGCACATCAGCATATTTTTAAATGCGATGGTTTTTAATTTGCACACTATTTTCCTTTCTTTCTGAGAGCTATGTTTTCTATTGGACACCTGCCTTTACTTTAGGAATGTATTGTAAGCACTAAATGTTTGTAGTGAAGACATTCATCATTCTAGTCAGCTTTTAGTTTTTAAATTCACTTGTCCAGAAAATACTTCATTAAATGAAGCTGTTAAGAGAATACCAATGGAAAATATAATGCCACATTTCAGATGAATGTCAGGCTTTATGTGGCCAGCTAGTAAATAGTGGATAAAACTGGTAATTAAATTATTACCAGAGTATATTGTATAAACTATGCAGAGTTCAATATTGTTTGCTTGTAATATAACTAGCTACTGTTGTCAGATGTATTTTTCTGTTGTAAACAAAAACCATGTTCTTCGATGACTGGAACGGATGTCTGCGTATTTAAATGTTAACAAACTGTCTTATTCCTCCAATGAAAATTTTGATGTCTGTGCTGTATTGTAAGATATTCTAGAATAAAAAGCACCTTTCGCCAAAGGTGATTTTAAATTGCAGCCTGTGAAGTATGAGAATTATGAGAAGAAAGAAGAGTAAATGTCATTGTTTAGTTTTCCCTTTGTAAGTTAAATAAATTACTTTTATTTCATGGAACAGCCCATTCCAGAACTCTTGCTTATATTTAAACAGATTTAACTAAATCTCCAGTAGACTGACTGGACGCCACCTGAGCTAGCTTTAACTTGACCTCAGACTGCACTGAGCTAAAAAAGATTAGCTGAAAAGGTTTTGTTTTCAGCTGTTCTAGAAAAGCATAAAGTTAACAGAACTCAGCTCCATAGCTGCAAGAAGCACAGGCTGGTCCTGTCACTGAGAAAAGAGGCAGAATTTTCTGGCCTTCCTCCTCCAAGAGATTGATCCGAGTGCTTCAACAACGTCATGCAGAAGTTTACTATGTTTTAAGATAGGCACACTATCTAGAAGTGTGCTTGCCCAAGTATATTGCTGAGGAGGGTTTTTCAGAGGTATATTTTAAAGATGGGTTAGCCAAAAAAGCTTACTTTATTAGTACCACAACTCAGTTTTTAAAACAACACCACAAACAAACATAAACGTGAAATAAACTACCAAAAAAACCACACCCCACAAAAGTCAAAAGCATTCCACGGAACTGTAGCTCTGGAATGTTGTGTCACATTCTTTGTACAGGTATAAATAGAATTGTTACTCTATGAGGTTTTGTGCATATACTAGTTCAAAGTATTAATTATGATTTTTGTCTGCATTTCTCTCTTCTTTGTCTGCAAGGCCTTAGTGAAAACAGCAGGTATGCTGAGAAGAGGCCCAACCATCACTGTATCACACACTGAAGTTTAGCTGCAGCAGAGGAATTTTTCCAGCTAGACAAGGTTCTGCAGGCCCTGACATTCCCAAGTTCATTAATCCCTTTGACGGTGCCTGGATGTCACACAGGTATTAAACACCTCAGTACAGTTCAGGATTTAAATGACACTTTGCTTCTAAATATTTGGATGAGCTCCATGAACTTTACCAATATGCACAGGCAGCTTAGAAATTCAGGTAGGGGTTTTCCCAAGAGCGTGATTTTGAATATATATACACAAAACAACAGTAGAAATTTATGTCCCAATGTTGAATTTAGAAACCTGAAGTACCAGAACAAAATTAAAAAGTTCCTATTATTTGTCAGCTCTAGCTCTCAAAAATTTGAATGTGAATAGGCAGTCACTGACTTTAGGTTAACAACAAATTAAGCCATTAAGCAGTATGATGAATACATGTATTCCTGCTTAAGCTACTTTATTTTTCTAAGAATAGCAGCAAAAACATATACCCTTCATTTTATGATTTCATTTGTATGGATGGATGTGGGGACATTTTGTTTTAGAAATATGCCTTACTATAATTATAAGCAAGTTTACATGACAGTGAGGGACAAGGAAGAGTCTGCAGCAACACAAGAAACTCAAAATGCAAACACTGTTAAAAATGAAATTTTAATCATAAATGTTACATCTTCTCTTCAACTTTAAACCTTGCTACTTTTCTTCCAGTTCTTCATTTATGAAACAAAATGTATATTCAATACTTCATGTCATTATTCCTATTTTCCTTGTACTTTGGCTGGATTTTGCTTTTGATTATTAACAGTTGATTGTTGATTATTAACAAAGCTTGTCAAAGGGGAAGCTTTCTGCTTTTTTTCTATTTAAATAACTCTTTCCATTCCCCTTATTTTTAACAGCTGTAAACCTCTGTTCAGAAAAAAATCTTCACTGAGAATCCATGGAAATTAAATGAAAGTGACAAAGGTATTTGTACTGAAAAGTTCATTATTTAGACATTTATACTAGACCATCATCACTGACTAGAAAATGATTGCAAAGAAGATGATCACAACTGAAAGTTATAAATAGTCTCTGCTGAGCACATGACCATGGAATAATCGATGTACATTACATACAATTATCAGCTGAATAACAGGGGAGAAACAAAAGCAGGTCTGTGCTAACTGTGTGCCAGCTGCAATAGTGAACAGGTATTTTTTTAAAAAGATGAGGATGGCCTGTGTAACTGAAGTGTGTTTATACAGGGGCACCTGATCTCGCTTTTAGACACACTCGCAAACCACCATCAGTAAACAGAAAATGATGCCAAGTCAAGAGACCCACGTGTGTATGTCATAGAGCTTTAAACGGATTTCTTAGACAAGCATGGCTCCCATACATGGCATTTTAAAATATTTTCATCTACCAAAATGTACAGGGTACACCATTAAGCTCCCGTTCTCCCACGTGTACAAATTCTTGTCTCGTAGACTGTATGAAAGCATAGCAAGAACAGACTGTGAAGACCGTAATTCAAACCTTGCATCAACCTGCTTCCCTTTCAATAAATCAAAAGCAAAACTTACTGTCATGTCCTTGGTGTCAGTAACATAAATAATGCCACATGCTATGAATGCATTACCAGCCTTGGACTTAGGATATGTGGTGTTGATGTGCCGAATGACCGAAAACGTTTCTTCGTCAATATGTGCTACCATTATGTTTTCATCAGTGCTCGAGGCATAGATAATCCAGAGCCCCTTCTCATCCACTGCTATGTTGAAATACGTCTTGGAGTTAGAGAAGAGGTAGTTGCGCCCGTGGTGTAGGGCATTTTCAATGAGCAGAGTGCCCAGCGATGCTTTGTCGAGCCCAAGTCTGAAACGAGATACAGTGAGGACTCAGTACACTGTGTTCAAGTTCATTTCCATACACACAGGTTGGCTGAAGCAATTCCAAGTGCATTACTGTGATAGAAGTGCTGTTGAAAGTACTTGAGTTCAAGGACCATTCTGATGTCTTTTAAGATTAAGTTTTCAAAGAATCTTCCAAAACACTAGAAGAAAATTCCAAAGTAATAACCAATCTGAGAGGTGCACAAGAGCATGGACTTGCTTTGGAAGGTTTCACTTTATTTAGTCTGTGAGCTGTATTATCACCAGGATGAAAGAAGCAGCTAAAAGGAATGGATATGAAAAAGAATTGGCTACCAGGTGAAGTCCCAGACTTGTGAAATGGAATCTGTACATAAGTTTGCTTTTGACTAGAACTAAAGGGAGAAAATGTGAGTGACGAAAGCAGCATGAATTCTGGACAGGCTCATCTGGTCTTAGAGTTCCCCTTCTGAAAGCAGTTCAGATAACACAGTGATTTGGTCAAATAGACATCAGAGGAATAAAAATTCTACTTTTGCAGAGCCAAAATTCTGACCTCGTGCTAGCCTCAACAGGACAGCCTGAATGCTTCATCTCTATAAAGTTGTTTTCATTCCGTGAAATTCTTTAGTATGATGATAATCTGAGGGCAGCAGCCATGAGCAACTGAATTGTGTTCCTCTACTAGAGGCTAATCAGCAGCTATTCAGACACATCTGCAGATAGCATTTAACCACCAAATAACACCATGCTTTAGCAAAGTGAGAGAGCATGTTTGATCTTTTTATATAGTGCCCTCTATAAAGGAAGCACGTTCAGTGTCTGACTTCTATCTAAATGTATAGCTCCATTCTTCCAATAGAGGAATTAAAAACCTTACTCAATACAGGAATCTGCTACATCTACAAGTAAGTTTTCTGAAAAGACAGGCATAGTCACAGGAGCATTTCAGATCCAGGAACTTACAACAGAAGGAAGAATACTGGAAGGATAATTTTTCAGTTTAAAGGGCATTGATAGCATATATTGTAAAAATAATCCTAAGAAAAGTAAGGAATGACCAACTTAGATACTTTCCCTCAGCTTTTGGAAAACTCACATCTGCAGCAACTCCATATTCCAGCAACATTTGTGTGCAATAAAAAAACCTCTTCAAGGCTAGAGAAGATTTGAGAAATGTGTGTGTCAACCCAGTTAATCTTGTTAGTTGCTTCACATTTGTAAATAACCTCATGCAAGGACTAGAAGGACAGCCCTTGATAGGAAAAGTCACTCAGAAATGCCGTTTTTCTTCAGGATTTTTTTCTATAAAGAGTCAACAAGAAAAAAAGCATCTCAAGATTCATTAGAAAAGTGCAAGATCTGCAACACACAACTGTCTTTTCCTACTATATGTGAAAATCCTGATGGGAGCAGAAAAGTGAAATTTCATTCCCGAGGTTCTCTTGGGCTCCCCAGTCAAGGACAGTCTCCAAAATTCTTTTATTATCTTTTATTATCCTTGGGGTCAATGACAACATATAGTGTAATACTTTCATTAACTGCAGGGAACTCAAGCTACAAACACTTTTCTGATCACTAATAGCAGTGAAGTCAACCAAAAATAGCAGAGGTGAGAAAGCATGTTATAAAAAACAATGTCAGGCATCTGACCATCATGAGAAAACCTGCCAAAGGTCAGACAAACCTAGTTTTGCCAGTTTTTAAATATGACAAGAAACTCTTTTTAAATATTTTTTCAACATTTGCAAGATGAGCCAACCTAATCCTCACTTGTTCCCTTCCATTACACAAATATAAAAGAAGCTTTTATGCAACCTGAATTCAAGGAGTTCACTGTCATAAAATTCACTGTCATCGAATTCATAGTGCCTCATTCAATCTGTGCTGAAGGTAAATAATCTCAGAGTGAATAACTGAACAGAAAGGCCATTTCTTAGCAGCTCCTTAGAGAGGTTTTGAAAATTCCACAAATAGTTTGTGTTCATCTGTACCTGAAAACATTTCCCAATTAACGGTACCCAAGCAAAGCTGAGGAATTGCTGCCCTATCACTGTATAGTGCTTAGGCTGTGATGGTCTTTTACAGAAAAAAAGCCTAAAGATATTTAAAGGAGGTTGCCAAAAAGTGAGCTTGTCTTTGGCAGAATAAATATTATAGAATCCACACAGCTTGCTCACATTCCTTGGCATCCAAATGAATATAGGAAGGCAGCACTCACACCTGCCTGGGAATAGACATCAAAGTATAGTAAATGTTCTTGGCTCAAACATCAGAGTCGTGTAAGAACTTGAAAGCAGACACAATCTTTCACTTGCCCTTGGACTGTCTGTCTTTGGCTCTTCCCACAAGGTGAGATTTTGGTTTTGATTTGTATTGTCTGTCTCTGTCCTCAGTAGAAACTGAAACAGAGACGTAATTCCCAGTTCCAGTTCAGGGACATACATTGGGAGAGTTGTAGGAACTTCTTATTACGAGGAAATCAAACATTGGAGCCACTCCTCCACAATGGAATGTGCAATTCACCAGGTCACCACGTCCTCAGCTGGAGCCTCAGTGCGTTCCTCTGCTCCAGCATCCAGCAGCATCCACTCCCAGGCCAGCCAAGAGCAGAGCACGCAGCAGCTCTGCAGAGCCACCCACCTGTGCCTCCCAGACTGCACCTGAACCAGTTCTCACTCAGGTGGAACACACCAGTTGTGCAGGTAGATGCACAACTTACTTTTCTAAATCAAAAGCTTTTTTCTGATATCCAAATTCCTTAGTTCTCATTTCTTTCTTGCAATTATGAACACAGCAAATAATCCAAGTTAAAGAACGCTCACAGCAACATAATGTGTAACAGAACCCCAGGAGAGCCAAGAGAAAAATCTGTTGTCATATCTGTGGCATCTTGAGCATCTTGAGACCCAGTTGCCCTATCACATAGTAACTGCAGAGGTGAACCCCTTAGACACAGTTCAGCTCTGATGCCTAAAGAACTGTCACAACACAGTAGTGGACCTGGGCTACCCTCTCTGTCTCCCTCCTCCTGGAGCATCTGCACACACAAATGGAAGGTTGGTGGCCCACATTTGAGTTACAGATCGGAAAGAATGAGTTGTTCTGTTCTGGAAAGAGTTCTGAACCATTCCACCATTCTTCCTATTCTAGTTAGGATCAAAAAGAAACACAGAATGGTACAAGGAAAGTTTTCTGCTTTTCTGAGGTTCACCTCTGTAACTTTAACCCACTGCTCCTCCTTCCACACCATCACTTGCTTGAAGACAACTATGTTTGACTTACTTTAGAATGACATTGGTTCCTCCCTTCTGATAGTACAGATGATTGTTCTGTACTGCATGACCACATCCATAAAAGAATCCTGTGATGTTAATGATCCTGTAGCTGTTATTCAGCAAGGCATTGGAATTCTCATATTCTTTTATGGAGTTTCCTAAACAAAGGGAAAAACATAAGGGGGAAGAAAAAAAGGACTATCGTCTGGTTCATCTAATTTTGAAATCTCTATCCTTAATAAATTCAGTCTCCAGTAAAAGTCAACCTCAATCAACTATCTGACAGATAATAATTGTGTGTTTTCAGTAATGATTCAACTTGCTGAAATGTGAAAAAGTAGTCCAGAGATACAAAAAAAAAACTATATAGGAGATGATCAAGAGCCACAGACTTAATGGGTCCTCATTCTGAACACAGTTGATATATATGCAGAAATATTTCCTTTTTTCACTTAAGTCGTGGACATTTTCCTGCTCTAAATGTAGCTAATCAGAAACCAAGTCATTTTCTTGCCCGGCTAAATGAAAGGGCAAAACTCCTAGCTATGATTTAGGGAAGTAAAGCCATAGGAAAGAGAAACTCTTGAAAGAAAAGAATAAAACAGCACAAGCAACAGGCATTTAAATTTGGATTTGTTAAAAAAAAAAAAAAAAAAAAACCACACCAAAAAACTGAAAACTTCAAACTATTTTTAAAATCTGATGAAAATGTCTGACACTACAAATGCCTACAACCATATTTATGGTCAAGTATTATACAGGTAATATTGAAAATACTCTGAAAAAGATGTGGGTAAAATCCCATTACTTCAGTTTGAAGGGATTAAGGAAGCAGTGTCAGTATAACAATGGATTTTTGATTATGACTACTACTAAAAATACCTGAGAAATGCATGGTAAGCCAAATCCTTTCATCACTTATATTTGCAGGCTCCCGCATCCAGGTTCCAAAAGTTTGCTGAACACTGACAAAGTGAACAGGACTTCCCACAGATGTTATGACACATTCTAGTAGAAAAGAAAGAACATGTCCAGGATCTGTGACACTAAACCAGCAAGTAGCACTTAGTCACGCTCTGCAGCAGGTTACCAGGTTTTTTTGGAGGACCAGGGGTTCTGTCTTCAGCTTTTCCAGCCAGGGTGTCATCATTTGGTACAGCACATGCCTCACCTGGAGTTGAGGGAGAAAGGATAAAAATATGGCATTTTTCTCTATTTGACATGACGGATGTGCACATCAGTGACTCCACTAAAATAAAAGGATGACAACTGGGATTTTGTTTCACCTAAGAAAAAAATCTGCTTAGGTTTGTCTGGTCAAAAAATGAGATAAGAAAAGACTTGCTCTCACTCCTGCCAGGGAAATGAAATGTTTGGGTTGGTTTGTTTCCTTGAGGTTGTCAGGCAGACAGTGAACTTTGAGGAGTAACTAATTAAATCAACAGATTTAATTCCTTAGCTATGAATTCCTGAGTAGCTGCTTAGAAAGACAGTTGCCCTTTTCCTTAGATAACTTTAGACAACTGAGGTAGCTGGAAAATGGCTGATTTAGCAGCAATACCAAAAACATTTTCTTGGGAATGAGTGGTTGTTAAACTCAAAAGCATCATGCCCAGATCTCCACACGCCAGCAGACAGGGTGTGTGCTGCAGGAAACTTGTGCTTGTGCTGTTGATGCCCAAGACAGCAATAAGGCACTAACACATACACTGAGCACAAGATTGCAGCTCAGCCATGCGTGCCACCGAAGCAGCAGTGTGAAAGACTGAGGGAAATGATACAGTATGTTACTTGCAGGCACAGAAATGGTTCACATCAAAAACAAACACCTGGAAACATTTTTGCCCACCCCCCAGTAATATGAAGAGCATTGATTGGATTTTCCCTTTGCGTTTACCATTAAGACAAGGCCTGAATTAAATTACTTATGGACCTTTCTCTGTAGAACCAGGAACCTCTTCTGCCCTTAAAACAATGTGACACATTTCAGTTTGCTTAAAAGGAATAACCACAGAGAACAGTTCTCAGCTTTTTGCTGAAGATATCCTGATTTCATTGTAGCTTTGTTTTCTAATTCCATTCTTAACTTTCATCTCCTTATATATTGCACACTGCTTGATATACAGGCTGCAAATTCTTTTGGACACACATTTTTCTTGTTTCCTTGCCACATATTTCTGGGATTTACAGATCTGTGCTGAAATTTAAGTGAGAAAGATAGTAAAAATATGAATAAATATAAAGTAATGCTGATAGGGCACCATGACATTGAGGAAAGAAAGTACAGATTATACTGAACTGTTGTTTTCTCTTTAGGTTATATCTTCCCTTTGCTCATGCGGAAGAAAACTACTCCAACATGAAGCAAGAACAAGATGTATTTCTCCCATCCTTTTATCTAGGACATTTGGTGAAATGACATTGAAAGTTTGCAAGTGATCACAGTGTATCTCCAAAAAAGGCTAAAACAGTCAACTCATGGTAAGCTCAATGCCCTATAGCTGGAATCTACCAATCCCTCTGGATCCCTTTCCAGCTTCTGATCACAAAATATTGCCAGAATATCTCAAGAAAGGAACCCACTCAGCAGAAATGATAAATTGCAATGCACAAGTTAATTTTCTTGGGCTGTGTGATAGATGCAGTTGACTGGATGAGCAGTTCCCTGTACAGTAGTTTATCTAAGACTACAGAGCAGTCAGGGAGCAGGTCAGTGTAGCAAAGCTGAGTGTACTATTTGTGTTTGAGAATAGTTGCAGTACTCTGAGGGCCTTTCAGCTGCATCAATCAGAAAGCAACTCAAATTAAAAAGACAGTTTTCAATCAGAGACTCTTATGGGAAATTTTCACTACTTTCTTTCCATCAAAAAAACAAGATAAATATCCTACTGATTCGTATCATAAAATGTTCTGGTTGCGAGTTAGTGGAGTTTACAAGACATTAAAACTATTGATTTGGTCTGTTGGGGGAGGGATGGAGCAAGGCAGTTTGGAGCAGAGATGTTTTGTTTCTTTTAGAATTCACTAACAGTACCATTGAGAAGAAATACACCTGAGTTTCCAACTAATTATTCTTTTTTTTGAAGAAAAAAAAGTTTTACCCAATTCAAAATTTAATTTGAAGAAACCAGTCTTGTATTCTTATTACATAAGTTAATTACAATTGTAAATCAACATGTGTATTCTCTTTCCTTGAAAAAGATATGAATATTTAATTATAAAAGCTGAGTTGTTCTTTGAATTTTGGTAATAAGATCCCATTGCTTACTGAGTCATAAAACATAAAAGCCCACTGAGGAAGATCTCATCTTCACAGAGTTACTTGACTGTAACTCCCATTTGCACACAGCGATTTCGAATCCATCAGAAATCCATCAGATGACTTATCCTGCAAAGCACTTCAGGCAGATTCAACACAAGAAACACTAAGGAGAACTAACCTGTGCAGGTGCTGCTGTATATGTTCTCCTCAAGCTCTGCTTTAGCTTTGCCTTTACGTTTACCTGGAGGTCCTGGGGGTCCAGGTGGTCCAGGGGGCCCTGGTGGTCCAGGTTCACCTTTTGCACCTGTGCACAAAACAGAGAGTCATGTCACAGGCCTGCACAGACAACCTGCAGAGAATGTGTGTGTCCACATCGCGGACTTGGAGAGATCTCTAAAACAGCCTCTTTCTTTCTTAAGAGGTTTCTGAGTACAGAAATACAATGCAATAGACACACTGGAATGCTGGAACTGTTGCTGGAATGTTGGAATCGTTGGAAGCTGAACCATACAGAATTTCACAAGGTGTAGGTCATCAGTGCATTTTGTTTGTCTGGATTACAGGCACATTAGAGAGCTGTAAAGCACCACTGCCTGAGAATACTAAGACCTCAACTTCAGATGCTACACTGCTAGAATTTTACACAGCTTATATTTGGCTGCTTCATGTATTCCTGAGTGGATATCTGACCCTCATTTTCTAATAGAGAAATAAAACCACACCAAAAGAAAGAGCAGGAGAAGGTCAGCTGTCTGGCAGTGTATTGGAAAGGGTGGAGTTCACAAACACCTCAATCCGAAGCCCAGGCAGAAAAGTTTTTGTGAAGACTTGCATTACAAAGAGAACAATCTCCTGGGCACAGCAATACTCAAACTTTACTATGTATCTATACCATATTTATACTGGTAAGGCCTGCACTTGTATATCTCATTCATGCTTCAGAAGTGGAAGGTATCTTTTTTGTCAAGCACACTGTTGCAAGTGTTTGCAAGAACTCCCAAGAGCACTTCTTCATACCTTCTAATATTACATCATTGCTTGCATCCCCCTTTTCCCCTTTGGCTCCTCTTGCACCTTTTGCTCCTGGCATACCATCCTTGCCAGGTAAACCCATTTCTCCAGGTTCTCCTTTCTGCCCTTGATCACCTTTTGGTCCTGGTAGACCTAGAAATAAAAAGCATTTCATTACCAAGAAATCTACTCCAGCATTATGCACTAATTAATAGATATTTTTACTGCAAACCGTATTCACTCTAGGTGTTTTTTTCACCTGTATTTAGCTAAGTAGCTGAAATTTGTTTGGATTTCAGAGCAATGTTGTAACCAAATGTGAAAGGAAACTGTGTGCAATTTGTCTGGTGCAACTAATATATTCTCTACCTCGTGATGTCTGAGTTTTGAATATGGATCACACAGACCTGGACCTCATTAACCCTGGCTGGAGAATTTCTGGGTAAGTAGAAATACTGTGGAAAGATGTGAAGTCATACATTTATTTCACATATGTAAGACACTGAAGAAAGGCATTGTCGTGGCTCATCTAGAGGGTTTTTTAAAGTAATTACACACAAACATTACAACACATATTGCACTTTTAACTTTTTTTTCTGTCCCAGTAGAGCATAGATAGAGCTGCCTAACAATGCTTTCAGTGGCTACTATAACTCTACACTTGCTAGAAGCATGATTAGCCCACATACTTTTTGCACTTGATCATGTAGTAAATTGATATATTTGAAAAGCTATTCCTTTGTCCCATGTGATTTAGTTCTGCAATAGGAAAAAACGTGTTTGTACAACTGACACATCCAAACCCTCCACCCTCTACTTTGGAGTATTTTCTTGCTTTAAGAGAGAGAAAAGTAACAGTTTACAAATAGAAATGTCAGTGTTCTTGCAAGCATAGATTTCAAATAAATTACATTTGTTAATACTTGAGAAGAAAATGCTTGTTTTTCTACTATGGTTTTACTACTTAAATTGATTTTGTGAAATCAGAAGCAGAATTACAGTTTGTGGTTGAAATCCAAAATGTGCCTGGCACAATTGCCACCTGGCTCTCTGAAGACTGGTTCTCACTTTCATTTCCAATTTTAAAAATTCATTGAGGATACTGAAGACACAGAACCCGTTGTCTCAAGGTACAGTAGGCAATTGTTTCACTTTTACTTGCCAGCAAGTCCAAGCAGTTCCATGTGAAAAGCCAGAATAGATGGATCACTACAAATACCGACCTGTCTGCTCACCAACATACCTTTCCTCTTCTCCATCCTCTCTCAATTCCACCATTCTGATGCTATTTTGTCCCTTCTCCTCCTCCCATTCACCACCTGCTGCTTTCCCCCTCTGCCTTGGAGGCACCAGTTATCCATCAGCACTTTCACACAGGTCATGTGCACCAGGTAAATCAGTGGATAAATCAATTACTGCTTTAAGATCTCACAGCAGTGAATCTGGTATAGTGTATATCTACCATCTTCCTCACTGTAGAGTAAGTCTGAAGTAATCTACCAAAGCTTAGTATGAGAAAATGAATGTTACAGAATAACATGCACCTTCTTTGTAAACTTTGAAACCCTTCTCCCTGTACAAAGGTCTATTAGAAACAATATCTGAATATAACAGTAAAAAAAAAAAAAAAAGTGGTTTTTTTTAAATAACAGTTTTAAAAATACCAATTTTTCCTCTTTTTCCATTTACTCCTGGTTCTCCCTTTTGTCCTGGTATGCCTGGGACTCCATCTGATCCATTGTAGCCAGGCAGTCCATCAAGTCCAGGGGGCCCTGGTCAAACCAAACAGCACAACTGAATTTTAACTGCTAAATGCAATTTATCCTTACATCTACTATATTTACTTGCCATATGATTTTTATATGTGTACTTGAACTCTGGAAGAACATAACTAATACTTTTCTGATACAGAGAACTACTCCAAACAGAGTGACAGGTAAAGCAGCACACAAAGAAATCAGGTACCCATTCATACAGCAACACTTGAGTGGGAAGAGAGCCAGAAAATTAAATAAGAAAGGAGGAAAAGCGATGGGGAAAGTGTGTTGTTAGTAATCAACATTTTTAAAGAGATGTTTTTAGAGTTAAATTACAATACCCATTTATTCTGGGTTTTTTTAATATATAGACTCCTCTCTTCAGCTAAATGCTACTTAATCAAAACCAAATGGAATTAAGAGTGTCTAAATACTGTACTCCCTTCCCTAGAAAATTATAATTTCTAAAACCTCCCCCGCCTCAGAAGGGGCACAAGCTGAACCTAAATACAAAAACTATAAAGGCAGGCATTCAACCTTCCCTCATGCTGAATAGCAAAGGAAAAGTATTTTGTGAAAGACACATTTCTACATTTCAACATTTTTTACCAGCAACTGTTTAAATTATTCAATTACCTCAAAATGTTACTGCAATTATCCAAGTATCTTACCTGGGGGACCCGGAGGGCCTACAGTAAAAAACAAAAACAAAACACAGGAAGAGATGGTGAATTGAACCTTCCAAGAAAACAAAGCAATTCCAAATTGAACTGATTGACATTAGAACAGAACAGTAAAAGGGGAGGAAAACCCCTCAAATTTCAAAATGAACATTTAGCTATTTAACTGTTTTGTATTATAAATAACTATCTGAGCATTGGCAGTAACTCAGACCTAGTGAAAGAGAGTCCTTCAACACAATTACATATACACGTTTTGCATTTACTAGATTTCAGTTGATAAAGGTTTGACAAACAACCACTACAATGAAATCTCACTGTCAGGGGCTTCAGTGCCTTCACAAAGCCATGGATGCAAGGCACTTCACAGTCGTTACATTTCCTTCATAAAAGTGTTCTTCAACAACCTGTTATAGTAGAAGGTTAGTAGCTTTACAATACTGATGAATGTCACAATTAAAAATCCTGTTAAAAATACACCATGTGCCACACTGCTCTGTGTTTTACAGCTATTTCATGGCCACTCAGGACTCAAACTAATTAAATAAAAAGAAGGAGGGAGAAAAGGAAGGGAAGGGGAAGGAGATGGGGAAGGGTAAAGGGAAGGCCAAGGAAAGGAAGAAAAAGGGAGAAAGGGAGAAAGAGAAAGAGAAAGAGAGAAAGAGAAAGAGAGAAAGAGAGAGAGAGAGAAAGAGAGAAAGAAAAAGAAAGAAAGAAAGAAAGAGAGAAAGAGAGAAAGAGAGAAGAGAGAAAGAGAGAGAGAAAGAGAGAAAGAAAGAAAGAAAGAAAGAAAGAAAGAAAGAGAGAGAGAAAGAAAGAAAGAGAGAAAGAAAGAAAGAAAGAGAGAAAGAAAGAAAGAAAGAGAGAAAGAAAGAAAGAAAGAAAGAAAGAAAGAAAGAAAGAAAGAAAGAAAGAAAGAAAGAAAGAAAGAAAGAAAGAAAGAAAGAAAGAAAGAAAGAAAGAAAGAAAGAAAGAAAGAAAGAAAGAAAGAAAAAGAAAGAAAGAAAGAAAGAAAACTTGAACTTGCTTCAGTTATTCAGCAGCACTGAAACCTGTCTTGCTGTCTCTGACATAGCTCAGGTATAGGGCTCTAATGAGAAGCAAGCATAGCAGGCAAAAGTAAAGCAAGACTAAAACAGAAAATGTTTCTGATGTTTCTGTAACAAGATTTATCTTCTGTGATCCCCAATATACATTAAAAAAAAGAAAAAAAAAAAAGCTTTAGGAGAATACAAAGGTAGCAGTTGCAATTAAAGAACCAAATTAGTTCTGTGAACATTTTTATCCAGCCAAAGTACTCTTTTGCTTCAGCAAAACTCTCTACAACAGAAAATAATAGTAATTATTAGATTTCCCTAAAGATGACAATTTTCAGCATTAATTACAAAGCATTATAAGTAAAGTGACAACCATCCTACAATACCATTACAGCAATTATCCCTTTTAATCAGTGCAGGCAGTAACATCAGTTAACATCTTTCTGCTGGTTTTCCAGTAAATGGCCATTTTTTCCACACTGCAATGTTACATCCATTAGTGCATTCAGTTACTTCCTCGTCCCCAAAACTGAGGCTCTTTGTATAACCATAAGATAAATAAGAAAGGTGCTTCAAAGGAAGCAAATGACACAGAGGCCTATAGAAAAGCTAAGCATTTCATGGTGTTCAGAGAGAAAAAGGTACAGAAGACACCAAGTAACGTGAATTTACAAATCCTAAGCTCAAAGAAGCAAAACTTTTCCACTGTGTTTCAGTCTCTGTTGCAATCAGAGCTGACCTACAACTTCAGAAACACTATTTAACATCTGTGTGTACCATGGTAATTCTCATTTGTGTTGAATCAGTTGAGTCAAATGGACCTTGTAGCCACTGCAGCTGGAACAACAGGAGCAGGTTTCTACACCCTCCATGTTCATGCTGTGTTAGGTTTCAAGGGTGGCATACACAAAAATACCGTGATTTAACCTCAATTAGTATTTTGAACACCCAAGTCTGAGAGATTTGTTTATGAAAATTACATGGAAAAGAAATAGCTCCAAGTAATATCAACTGGACTCCTTAAATTCCAGCATTTATATTAAATGGGTACAGATAAGTCCCAAATTGGCACCTATTATATTTTGTTAAAAAATTCTGATAAAGTAAATAGCACGGTCCTTTGACAGAGTTATTGAGTTCAAGTTCTTTGAAAACACTGTATTTCTGTGTTCCTGAAGGTCACAAAGGTGCAAAACTTAAGGCAATAAACATACCTGTTAAGCAAATCCCTTTTGTGCTGTTACATAAATCCACCATCACTCGGACCTAATATTGCAAAGAAAGTAAAGTTGAAAACAATGTGTTCCATAAAGGTGTCTGGTTCAGTTTACCGACAGAAATCATTTCAAACCGAAGATTCAACTGGCCACTTTGTTAACAAGAATAAACTTTTCAGAACTACCTTAATACTGTGACACCATCCACCTCTTCAGGCAGTGTTTCTCTCATAGGCATCTGTTCAGTACCCCTCATATTAATCCTTACTGAAAATATGAATAAAATATTGAGCAGACAACTCCACACATGATCTAGTCATTAAATTTCATGCATTACTGTAAAATGCATTAAAACATGTATTAAAAGCCAACATCAGCCAATGAAAATTACATTTAATTTTATTTCAGATTTGCATCAAATGATGGAAACTTTTTTAACATAGCACATTAAGGGAGAAAGGTGTCCTATGTTCCAAGTAAGTGATTTCTTATATTTGAATAACTAAGATCTGCAAATCTGAAGTGGACTTTCATCCACTCAAGTAATTCATCACACCCATGACAGACTTTATAAAACCAAGCTGAACAACACATTCATAAAGATGCTTTTAATCTAGAGTAGACTGAAATGTATCAATTAGAAAGTCATCTTTACAAAATACATGACTCTTAGCTGGGCAAACATTCACATTACATGTCCTGCATGCTGAGAGTCAACACTCTAAAACGTTTTGCAACTCATCAAAACAACCAGCATAAATAAGAATATTATGAACATGAGCACTGGCAGTGCCTCAACTCTTTTGTGGGAAAGTCTAATGTTTATAGCCAGGAAATAAAAAGGTCATTATTTCAGGCTGTGCAATATATGATAATTTATGAACCATTTACCAAGAGTTGCACATTTATTCGCCTTCTTACAATTACTCTATTTACAAATAATGGAATGCACTAGTCCCAAAAGACAGAACAAATGAGTGCAAGGCAATCTGAAAGGCAGATCGAAGTTTAATCCTAGAAAGGTTATTTGCCACTGTCAGTTGTGATTTTTAAAATTAATGCATCATTAGTTTCAACTGACAAATCTAACAGACTCGAATAAAGGACAATTATTTTGATGGCAAGGCTTCTTTTCCTGAAAAACAAAACCATACTTGACAATGGGATCCTGTCCTGTCTGATACATACTGTGAATGTTCTGGATTCCAGACTGGACTGGAACAGCTCTAACATTTAGAAATTTAGACTCAATTTAAATTAGTTGAGAAGTGCTAACTGGCTTCGAATATCAGGATATGCTTGTTCTCTTTCCCTTCACACTCCTCAAAAATACTTGCCTCCTACCTTCTAATTTGTAAAATACACATTGTCCACATGTACACTAATTCTAACTGCATTTTAATTAAAATAGTTCTATTGAGGTTGATAAAGAGATCACAACTTGCTCTGGGGTGCTCCAGTTACCTCAGCAGCGCTACTTTTACCAATCAGTGCGACTCAGGTGACAATTAAAAAGACATGGAACTCAGGAAGTGCAAAGAGACTATAGCAGAACCTCCAGCTTAGCAATGGAAGATGAGCAGACTGTTCAATCAGCCAGAATCATCACTAAGAAAAGCTACAGATAAAAGTATCTTACTTAAATGCTAGAAATTAAGTTTTCTCATGAAGAAATGGTGAAAAAAATAAAAAGAAAAAAGACTAAACTATGAAACAACTACTCAGAAAACTGGTAGCCCCCATAAGCCACTTCTTGCACTGTCTCAAATCACACTTTGAAAGCTACTGGACTGTTACCTTTGCATCAGTCTTTCTGCAGCAGCAGATTTGCCAATTTCCTATTTTCTTACAAAATAAGTGTATGTAAACACAAATACATAAACAATAGGCCCACAACCAAAAATATACTCATGTTATCAAAGCTAAAATATGGGGGTTGATGCCTAAGGTTATTTCAAAGGTCCTTGAACAGTGGCCACAGCAGATCTCTGTGAGCAGGGGGACACTGACACCTGCAGAAATTGGTGCTTCTGCTACAAGAGAGAACCCACTCAGGCAAAACTTCCTTTCAGGCCAACATTCAACAGATCATCATTCCAAGGCCCACCAATTCAGCAGGAGTTATCTCATCAACTCTAAGGAACTTTGTCTCACAGTACAAAAGTACTCAAGTCTTGAAATTAACTTAGTGGGAGTTATATTCAAAATACAAAAATGCAGGAGTGGGAGGAGGGGGTGCTTGAAAATTTTTCAAAGGACACCTTTTTTCCCCTTGAGCAAGTGAGTCTGCACACAGTCAGTCATACACTCACCTGAGCAGCAGCCAGAAAAATGGTTGATGGGAGTTTTGTAAGAACAAAAAGGCATAACCCCCCCACAAGCAACTCCCTGCAGGATACATTCATTTGAATGAAGCACATGCACACAGCAGCAGTCACAGTGGACATTTAAAGGCACAAGTGCGTGGTCTGGCCACATGCTGTTAAAATACACACCACGTGCTTGTTTCTGTTTGGAGAGGGCAATAAAATTCATGCAATCTGTATGTGGTACCCAATGACAGCAGAGTAGCACATTTAATGGCCACTGTCGAATCATCCAGGCACCCAAGTGCCACTAAAAATCAAGAAGAGTTGCTATCAAAAGTGCACTTTGAACACCTATGCTCTACAGTCTCATTAGCTCTAATACTAAAGGAGTATTTATCACTGTGAAACGATGATTACAATAGTTTATTCACAAAACATTCCAACAGAACACTACTGAAGAGGTATTTTCTGCACATAATTTTCAAACCCAGTAATATTAATTAGATGAGTAAGAGCCTGAGTTAACCTCTCCTGCTTTTTTTGTGGGCCTAGGCCTGCAATCCTTGCTGGGACAGAATTTCCATTAGGGTTCTCTCAACAGTAATATTCTTCTTGCATTTCTTCTGACTCAGAATGTAGAAGCTTTTCAATCTATTTAATATTTTTCAACTCTACAACCCATGTAATTTTTCAGTTATGTGATCTGGTTCCTATTGAACAAGATCATCTTTTCACTGATGAGCAAAAAACTATGCCAGTTTTGCCAGAGAGAAAGGACATACAGTTCTCCTGACCCATCAAATAACACCCTAAATTTAACTATTACTGAAAGAGCACTATCAATTTCAAAGAAACCAAAATCAACTCAAATTGAAGAGAAATTTCACTGATAAAGTGATGTCCAGTACCTTGCAGTGAGATGCTGAACAGCAGGAAACACACAGGGAGGTTCTAGCTTGTGGTGTTAGTTTTAAAAACCTGAAACCTTGGAAACTGGTAACATGAAAACTGACTTCTTATTGCAACTAAATTTTTTAAGTTACTCAAAATCCGTAAGTTCCCTCCGTTTTTCTGTGTAACTTCCACTCGTAAAGTTTAACAGTAACCTCAGCTCTGTGGCCCATCAGCTCTGTCATCTCAGCACGTACAGACGACAGTAGGAACCACTGTTCCTTAGGCACGAGATCCCAAGCACCAGGTGTTCGCTCCAGGTAGAACCCCGCCACGGCAGGAGCGGGACGGCCCCGCCAGGGCAAACCGCGGGGCTGGCGGGATCCTCGGGCTACAGCTGGGACAGGCGACTGTCCCAAATCCCCCATCCCCCGGCGGCACCCCCATCCCGGCGGGGCCGTACCGGCACCATGGAGTAGGTCAGCATCATCAGCATCTCGTCGCTCTCGGCGCGCACGGTGCCGCGGCCGCGCTCCCCGCGGCGGCTCCGCTTGGTGCGGGCGGCGGGGGCGGCGGGGCCGGGCCCGCCCGGCAATCCCCGCACCGAGGCGTTCCCCCGCACCGCCTCCAGCTCCCGCAGCGCCGCGCCGAGCTCCCGCCACTGCGCCAGCAGGAACAGCGTGCCCGCCGCGCTCAGCGCCGACAGCAGCCCCACGGCCGCCAGCAGCGCCCGCCCGCCCGCAGCCTCCATCGCACGGGCACGGCCGCACCGCCGCCGGAGCGCATTTATCCCGGGGGATGCTGCGGGAGCGGGGGGAGTGGCGGCGGGAGGGGGCCCAGGGCAAGGGAACGGGGCACCGGGGTCACCAAGCTCGGCCGCCACCGTCCCCTCCCACACCAGGGCTTGGCACCGATCCCGCAAAGCCGGGCAGGACCGGGAAGCTGCTCTCGGTCACAGCCTGTGGTCAGGCGTGATTTTTACATTGCACGTGGCTTTTTCCAGCTATCAAAGTTCTCCTTGACTTCATCCCTCAAAGCAGTGGTGCGAGCAGTGACACTGCGTGGTAAAAGCCTCTCCGTTACACAGAACCTGTCACTCAGTAGCTCATACCAGCACTTTGCTGCTTTAAGATCATATGTAATTCACTAGCTAAGAAAATCTCTTGTATTTCACTAACAACACTTTACCTGTTGCTTTAGTTGTTCAAGCACAGGCTTTTGCTCCTTCTAACCCTTCTGTGACATGGGATATCTCTAATACAACAAATTTTGCTACTGATTAATTCATCAAGCCAAGATAAGAAAGTCAATTATTCAGAATATCACTGTTATAAGGAATAGCAGAATTTCACCACATAAAGACTTCATGAAGTATATAGAAGATTCTGAAATCAGAAACTTTCTTCTAAAAAGTTATTTTAAAAGCTGACATTTAAATTTCAAATCAAACCTGAGTGCTTTCTTACACTGATACCACTTCAAATCTACCTCAAGAAATTCACAGCTTTTGAGTACCAAGTTTCCTACAAGACAGGGTTCTTGATCCTCAGCGTGACAGTTCTCTGCAACTGATCAGGTACAACATTTTGTCTCTGTTCCTAACTGAGCTATTGACCTGCAATTCATGCTAATCCCACAGTGCACTGATGGATGAATTATTAGGTCAAATCAAACATGAATTTCATACACACAGTTCTGCTGCAGTCAGTTAAACACAGTAGAGAAGCCAAGAAAACAATTCCATCATATTAAAGTTCTCATCTCTCTGAAATAAAAAATTATGCAAAAAGCATTGGTGCCCTCAGGCTTTGCATCGGAGACTCTTTCCTTCTGAAACTGTCACATTAGA